TATATATATATATATATATATACACACACATATATAATATCTTGCTTTCTATTTTTATTAGATAGTACTGCTTAAGAGCATCAGTGTTGGGCAAGTTTATTTACCTACCTAGGAGTTCTATAACTAGTGCAGATTTATAGATTGCCTTACCTTGAAAATGACAGGTAATGTTTGTTTTAATGAAAAAGATGGATAATGGCAGGTAATGTTTTGATGAAAAAGATGGATAGTTCAACTCTTGTTTCAGAATAAAGTTAGATGAATACCAAGGGCCATGAAATAATTTACACTGTAAGTGAAAGCCAGAATCTAGCAGAATTTCTTAGCATATCAAGTTCATCCTTCTTTATGGCAGAGTAGTATCTCATTGTGTATAACTACCACATTTTCTTTTTCCATTCATCTGTTGATGGATGTAATGGCTGTTTCCAAGGTTTAGCTATTATGAATTGTGTTGCTATAAGCATGCATGTTTCACTGTAATATGATGTGTTTAATTCTTTTGGGAAAGTTATTCTTAAGTAAGTGGGTACATCTTGAGATCATATTAAGTGAAATACATCAAGCATATAAGCTTAAGTATTGCATGGTTTCTCTTACATGAAAAATCTAAAATATAAATCAAGAGCAAAATAAAAGATAATAGGAATTGGGAGATCGTTTTCATTTGGGAAGTGGAAGAAAATGGAGAGAAAGGAGATGAGAAAGTAAGAACTGGAAAAAATGGAGACAGAGCTTTTGCAAATGGGAAGAGGACTAAGAGATGGAGGGAGTATGCGGGGAGGGCAAGGGTCGGGATGACAGAAGAATTCAGATGTGTTAGGACATGTGCCAGCGCCCTGTGATAGTACACACTGCAAACATGTACCAATACAAATTTTAAGAAAAATCTCTTAGCATATCAGATTTGGAATATTTCGAAAGGGATAAAGTGGGAAAATGTGCCCATTGATTTTGTACCCTAAACCTTTTATTTATTTATTTGTTTGTTTATTTATTTATTTTTGCCCTAAACATTTACAGATTGTCCTGCATAGGTGAGCTCTGCTCCTCCAATATTTACAGAGGTAGGGAAGTAGGGGGTAATATTCATCTAAAATGTTCATCTGTATTTTTTTCTTTGAGTGTGAGTAATGTTCTACCAGGTATGTCTCATTTTTTAACAAATACTTGACCAGACATTGGTCTGAGTTCTGGAAATACAGTACTGGATGAGGCATAGACCTTTAACATATTCACGACCAGGCCATAGTTCGTACATGTCATTGCCAGGTGACTCTGAACCACCAGGAATGTGTAAATAGAGCTACACGCTTTTAATTTGGAAATAATTTCAAATGTAAAGAAATTACAAAAATAACAGTAGTTCAAAGAACACAGTATACCTTTGACCCAGATTCACCTATTGCTAACATTTTTCTCTGTTTGCTTTGTAGTTTGTTCCTTCTCTGTGTGCACATATGTATAGATACATAAGATACATGTATAAGATCCATACATAAGACACGTTTACATATGTAAGATGCATATCTATATTTTCCTAACCTATTTGAGAGTAAGTTACATGTCTTTTACCCCTAAAAACTTCATTTAATTCTTAAAATGAGGAATATTCTTGTTTGCAACCGTAGCACCATTGTCAATCAGTAAACTTATTAAATGAAATACATTTAACACTGATAGAATACTTACCATGTACCATCCACATTTCAGTTTTGTCAGTTGATGCATTAATTTCTTTTATAACATTCCCCCATTAGTACATGGCTGTCTTTTAACATGAGATGTTTTTCTAGCCTTTGTCTTTTATGACATTGACATTTTTTGGTTTTCTCCCCACCTTTTAAAAATAGAATATTTTTCATTTTGGGTGTGTCTGTTTCTTTGAGTAGTTTCAGGTTATATTTTCCTGACTGGAATACTGTAAAGCAATGTGTCTTCATGGTATCACATCTGCAGGTAAATACTGTACGTATAGCCCTCGTTAATGTTCATTTTGATCACCCAGGCCAGATGGTGTGCAGTTAATCCACTAGACTATAGTTAGTTTTTTTCTTCTGAAGCTAATAAGCTTGAGAGACATACTTGTAAGACCATGCATATATCCTACTCTTCATCTAAATTTCCCCACAATTTGGCATCTATTGGTGATACCTACTTGAAGCAGTCTGTGACAGCTACAAAATGATTTTTCCAGCTGTAACACTCCTCACATGTTAACCCTTTGGATTCTTCTCTAGGCAAGGATCCTCTCTTCTCCTCCATTTATGCCTGTGTATATCATTGGTATGGACTTACGGATTCTTCTTTTGCTGTAGACTTATAGTTCATTACTGTCTTTTATTATTTTAGTGTTCAAATGTCATAGGTTTAGCCATTGGAAGCCTCTTCAAACTGACCTTTGTCCTTATTACTTGCTCCCATTACTTTTTGAGTACTTCTTCACACTCTGATGTAACAACACATTCCACAGGAAGCTCAAGTTTTATGTTAGAGAGCTTCAAGTACAAAGGTCATTTCAGTCTGTTATATTCAATGCCCCTGGAAGCATAAGCATAGCACATGGTGGCAGCATAGTGGAAGACTCTCAAGCCAGTGTAGGCATGGCACAGTGGATGGGGGGATGTAATTGGGAGCTTCCCGAGAGGTGATGCCACCACAACTGACATATACAAGATCGGTAGGACTTGGAGAGGCAGGGTGGTGGGAGGAAAGAAAGAATCTCTGGCAGATGTGCAAGCAAGGGTTAATCCCATGAGAGAAAGCAGCACAGGACACCTGTGCACAGGACCATTCATGGTTCTGTTTGGTTGGATTATAGAGTGAAAGGGAATGTGACCAGATTTGCATCTTTAAAAAGTACTTTGACTATGGTGTAGAGGCAAAGACCAGAGGTAGGAATAGTAGGAGGTTGGTGCTATAAATGTTTGTGAGCACACTGTTCACACGTGTCCTGCATACTAGTAATTAGTGCTTCCTGATTTATTGTTTGCCATTTAAATTTCATTATAACCCTACTGCTTCCATCTTTCAGCTGAAGCTTCTGAGGTGTGCAGATTGGATATCTTTCCTTGATATTAATAAATGACAGAACCAAAGTGCAAACTATGGCCTACTTGATTTCATACTGTTTAGCTGGTTTTATGAGACTTAAAAGTCAAGGATGACACCTTAGTTTTTAATTTTGTTAACTAAGTGAATTAGGGTAATATTCATGGAAGGAACAGAAAACACTTAAGGGTTGTTGTGAGGTGCATTTCTTTTGGGACATACTGACTTATATCTTTGGACATATCCCCATGGTGCTGTGCATTAGACAGTTGGCTCTGTGTGTGTGGAATCTCAGAGAGCATAATGCTTAAGAAATTAATTTTGTAATTACTGGTCTGTAAATGCTATTGAAACCTTAGTACTGGCCATGATTCTGGGCAGAAGCATGTAGAATGAGATGAGGAAGAGGTATAGGACAAATGCTAGGGGAAAGCCAACATTAAAATGACTGAAAAGGTATGAAGAAAGCTAGTCACAGTGTGATGTCAGTGGCTAAAAAAAGCAGCAACATTGCAAAAAGTAAGGAGTGATCAGTAGTGTCAGGTGTTAAGCAGTTAATTATCAACTAAACTATAAACAAGAAAAATTCAATATTCATCTCAAACATTTTATTTTTTAAATATTCTGTGTAGTTCTCTAAGTTGCAGTAAGTAATGAATGACATGATTTAAACTTTTTAAGCCTTGTTTGCAAGAAATAGAAGATTTGGTGTGGAGCAAGCCTGTCCTATGTGTGGTTTAGACATATATCATACAGGTATGGTTTCCATGTGTCCTATGAAGAGGTAGATGCTTATTTTCTAGTTGTTAAAGTATTTGACCATTTGGTGAATGAGCACAGCAGGAATATTAGGAGGTTGCATGGTACTCACTACTTATTTTTCAACTATAAAAGTACAAATACAGATTAAGAAATGGATTGGTTAAATGAGTCTTGATGCTGGCACTTGATTTTTGATGCATTGTTCTTTCAGCAGTTGCCTCTTTATGCAGGTACTTGAGTAGTGCCAGGGAGAATGAGGGTCAGTATTGTCTACTCAACTTGTACCCCCAAGTCCTGCCATCTTAGTGCTTGTGCCAGTGGCACCAGAACTAGGTGAAAGCAAAGCCTAACTGAAAGCCCGAGGCAAGTATGGCTAATCATGAGCCCCCCCCCCACATTATTTTTGAAAACTAAGATTGTACATTTCTGTTTTTGTTTGCCTAGTTGTTTCATTTAGACAGTTTGTTTCCTTAGACTTTAAATTCAAACCTTTTGGCTGCAAAGTATAGGGAGACTGTAAGGCAGATAGGACAAGTAGGCTTTGTGGTGTTACTGTCAAGTCCTTAGTTCTTTATTTTGTTATTCCTGACATCAGAGTGATAACTGTGCTTTAGAGGAGTGGTGTGGTAGCCCTAGGGCATGATGGCGAACCTTTTAGAGACTGAGTGCCTAAACTGTAACCCCAAACCCACTTACTTATTGCAAAGTGCCAACACTGCAGTTAAACCTGAAGACTGAGGTTTTAGTTTAGAAAGAATAACTGTTATCTGATGCTCAGCTGCTGGGGTGACTTGGTTTGCATGCAAACAGAGAAGGCTCTACATGCCTGCTGCAGCGCGTGTGCTGTAGGTTTTCTACCACTGCCCTAGAAAAAGCATGAGTAATTATGCATAAGTAGGATTTCTCAAGGCTAGAACAATACAGTTGCTCAATAATTATGCTGTCTACTTTTAATCTGCTAATTTTTTTCTGGCATTAGAATGAAACTGAAAAGTTTTGGCTTTCTTTTGAAGCCAGTCATTCATATATTATATCAGAAGAATCTTTGGCCAAGTTGAATTTGTCGTTTTAACCTTGTAATTAGGTATACTTATTTTAAGTTTCTTGATTTGAATATGTTGATAATATCTGTATGAATAAAGTAAAATATGTAATTAGGTGTAACCATACTTTTTTTTTTTAAGTAGAAATGTCTATGGTATTGGAAGATCATTACTTTTGGAAGGCCAGTTAACATCCATTTCCTAAGAGAAACTTGACCACCATTTGCTCTGGCATGGCGCAAAGCAGCCCGCAGCTTGATATTCAGGTTCTCCATGATCTCCGACAACGTTTCCCTGAAATTCCAGAGGGTGTGGTGTCTCAGTGCATGTTACAGGTAAATTTCCTGTCATTGATGGAGGTATTACAGTTTTCTTCTTAGAGTTTTTATGTTGTGGTGACTAAAACTCAATTACATTTTCAAATGTGTGGGATATATTCACAGCAGGATTTCTCAGCCTTGGCACTGTTGATGTTTTGGGCTGGATAATTCATTGTGATTGGGGTCTGCCCTGTGAATGCTAAGATGTTTGGCAATTTTTCTGGCCTCTACCTGTAATATACCAGGAGCATCTCCATCATTGTGACCCTCCCCGCAAAAAAGATGTTGCCTAAGTCCTATATGAGGCAAAAATCTCTGTCGAGAATCGCTGCTATTTAGAAAAGGCACTGACATGTAGCAAAATCAAAATATTTTCCTTGTATACCACTTTCTGAATTTGGGTTTTTTTGCGGGAGCTTGTCATCAATCTCCAAATCCTTGGAGTTGAAGTTGGTTTTGGTTTGTTTTCATCTTTGGCGTGTTGAGGCTTGAACCCAGGGCCTCCTGATACTAGGCAAGAACTCTGCTGCTGACCTGTATCCCCAGCCCCTCAAGCCGAATTTTGAATCTAAACATTATGTTAACTTCTGTAGGAGTTACACTTTTGAGCCTATTTTAAAAGTCTAGATAATTTACTCCTTTTTTTTTTTTTTACAGTTTCTCTGGTTGCTTAAATCCTTACTAATAATTAATTTTAAGTGTAAACCTACTTTCTTTAGTTCAACATATTCCCTTTGTCTTTTTATGCTGAAATAAATCTCTGACCTGAGAGCAAGAATATGTCTTCCTATCCAAGGAGCCGCAGACACAGGCCCACTCCTCCCTCTGATACATTTTGTGTCAGCTTTCCCAGGATCTTAGTGTGCTTTGGATGATGGCACTTCCCTGTTTGGGTTGACTTTGGGGAGCGCTGATATAACCTAGACGTACATGTTGGGAAGTTTAATCACAAATAAAGACTTACAGAACAATGGTGCTAACAGAAGTACTCCCTTTGTTTGCAAGCCCTCTACTAGGTCTAGTGGTATTTGTGTTATAGCTTACTTACACTTTTCCCAATCTGATTCACCATTCTTTAGCCCCATTTTGGTCTGTAGAGGAACACAGGTATTACTCACTAGAGTGAAACCAAGCAGGAGTGAGTCCTCCAATTGAAACCACTTCCTAGCAATCACTTTCCTCACTTAACCTAGAGCTCCACGTAGCTCTGACCCTATTTTATTTGCCTTTTGATTAACTGCTTTTTTCATGGCCACTTAATTAGACTGAAGGAAAGGAACTTTAAATTCAGCCCTGTGAACATGTGTTGATACCTACATGGTTCTGCCTTTCACTGTTTTCATCCCCTGAGATTAGTAGAGTACATTGGTATAAAGGTTTACCGCCTATTGGCTCTGGATAGTTTCTTTGTTCGCATTAAAACACAAACTACTAAATCATAGTTTGTAATCGTTTGTATTTACAACAGGCCTTAAGGTCTTTCTGTGGGCTATCATTCCTTAAATTAGGGTCACTTTTTTAGGAATATGATGCTTTTATCTCCTCTGTCCATATAGCAGTGTTCATATATGTCTTCTTAAAAAAATTCTGACCTCTTTGTCCAACTACACAATTTTGGATCCTTTAGCCATTTATTCTTGGACACTTTAGTCTACTTTTTTTTTGAAGACATTTAGCAAGTTAATTATGACATTTGATTCTATTCTGTTGGTGCTCTTTTTATAAGACTTCCAGAAAGGTAATACTTAGATATCCTATATTTGTGATTTTAAAATTTTTTCATAGAAAATTTACTGAACTGGTCACTGTAAACATGCATTTGAATAGGTTTACCATTTATAATTTGGATCCTTTTTGTGACCATACTAATTAGGCTCCCTTAGTTTTGTGAAGAAAATACAAAATGTCAAGATTATCAATACAAATGTCAAATGGTAAAATACCTTTTCTCCTAATCCATAAGTTTATAAACAACTTGGAGATATCTTAATTTTTCTTATTTTCCCTCAAATATCAACCAGTAACATATGCTAGTTGGCAATCAATCTAAATCCTTCCAAATTTGCTTTCAATATCTTTCCCTTACTCAGTACGATTTTCAGTCAGGATAAGAAAATCAAACCTTTGAGTTCTAATTGTTCTCTTCTTAAACTTCAACTAGTACTTCTTTTTATATTATTTTAAAAAGTATTTTATTTAGTATGGAAACCATGGCAGCAATGGACTTTTTACACTAATAAAGATCTTAGCACTAAAAAAATTTTTTTAAAAAAATTATAAGTATTTTAGGAGGCCAGTGCCTTATCCATTAGATGACTGGGGTTGACTAAAAGTATTTTAATATCAAAAGGTTTAAGAAAAATAAAAGTTACCTATGGCATTTCAATGAAGCAAATTCTTTTTATTTCCAAGAATTTATTTTGCAAAGATTCGCTTGACTGTATTGTTTTTTACCTCCTAAAGCTCCAGTGTAGTAATGTATTTTTGATCAAACATCCTGTCCCTTGAAATTACTGTGTGAAAAGAGTACTGGGACTCAAGAGACGAGGAATCTAGAGCTGATTCTCCAGTTAACTAGTTGTTGAGCCATGGAAATCTTCCCCAGGCATCTCTTACCGTAGTAGTAGAAGCCAGTTTGAGTAGGTGAATCCTAATAGTTCTTCTGACTAAAATTAATAACATTGTATCTCCTGTTTTAGGTTTAACCTTATTTGGTTCAGCAGAAGTGAAATGATTCATTTTTATATAGAATGTACTCTCCCTAAAATAAATATATAATAATATATAAGTACCTATCTAAATGTATGATTATTATCTACATAACTAGCAATATGATAATTGAGAAATTTTTATGGATTATTTCAAAGGCAATGAGTAAGCTCTGTTTTACTCTAATAAAATCGCTCAGAATTGTATAATTTAATGGAATGCTGCCTTATAATATCTTAACATTTTAAAGAGAGAACCATTTGTTACTTTGATTACTGTCAAGGAACTTCTAAAATGTCAGTTTGCTATTACTGTTTTTGTGTGTATAACTAAAAAGTTCACATCTTTCAATGATTTTGAAAGGACAGTAACTCATCTTTCAACAGGTAAAAACTGTTGAGACTGTTGGAGTTAGAATGAATTTTGTTAAAACAGTCAAGACCAGTTAATTACCATAAACTCTGGAAAAATTATGCAGCCATAGTTTTAAAATGTACAGGTGTTTTTTGATGATTTCTTTGTTTTGCTTAAATCTTGTAATAGTACAAGTTGAAGTTATTTAGAGAATACTTGGGTAAATGAAAAGTGAAAATGAAAAATTCTACTTTAGAATTTTTATCATTTTAACCCTTTAAGAATTTTCTCCTTTGGTGGTTTCAGTGTTTTTGTTTTTGAAAACTAAATCATGGTAATTTTCATGTTTATCAATATAACAATTAATGATGGATATTACTTATATATTGCAGCAATTGTGGTGAATCCAAGATTAGTCCAACATTTTAATTTGTTGAGATGCAACAAGTGTAAAATGAGTCCTGGATTTGGAGTCAGAAAACTTGGGGTTGAGTCACAGTGCTCGTTAGTAGGTACTTTACATTTTTGTAGCAGTAGCAGTAGTGGTAGTACTAGTAATGAGCTAAATGTTTATAAAATAATGTGAACGGCTTGAGAGCCCCTTTTTCAGGATAGATGACCGTAAAGTTTTTTTGTGGTTAAAAATACCACACTACTTATACTATGACAGTAGTATTCACATAGCACTCTGGCAAAGCCTAACTTCCATTTTTGTTATTTTTTAATTTTACCAATAATACTTTTACCATTTTCTCCCCCAGAATAACAACAATCTTGAAGCCTGTTGTCGAGCCCTCTCTCAGGAGAGCAGCAAGTACTTATATATGGAATACCATAGCCCAGATGACAATAGGATGAATAGAAATCGCCTTTTACATATTAACCTGGGTATTCATTCTCCTAGTAGCTACCACCCGGGAGATGGAGCTCAACTTAATGGTGGTCGAACACTGGTACATAGCTCAAGTGATGGACATATCGATCCACAGCATACAGCAGGTAAACAGCTGATATGTTTAGTTCAGGAACCACACTCAGCTCCAGCAGTTGTAGCTGCTACTCCCAACTACAATCCATTTTTTATGAATGAACAGAACCGAAGTGCAGCTACTCCACCTTCACAGCCACCTCAGCAGCCATCCTCCATGCAAACAGGAATGAATCCATCCACTATGCAAGGGCCTTCACCACCGCCACCGCCACCTCCTTCATACATGCACATACCTCGGTATAGTACAAATCCAATTACTGTTACAGTATCCCAAAACCTCCCTTCTGGACAGACTGTACCAAGAGCTTTACAGATTCTTCCACAAATTCCAAGCAATCTCTATGGGTCTCCTGGTTCTATTTATATTAGACAGACATCTCAGAGTTCATCAGGAAGACAGACTCCTCAGAGCGCACCATGGCAGTCCTCACCACAGGGCCCAGTGCCTCATTATAGCCAACGTCCTTTGCCTGTTTATCCACACCAACAGAACTATCAGCCTTCTCAGTATTCTCCTAAACAGCAGCAGATCCCTCAGTCTGCTTACCATTCACCGCCTCCCTCTCAGTGTCCTTCTCCTTTCAGCTCTCCACAGCATCAAGTGCAGCCTTCCCAGTTGGGCCACCCAAGTTCCCACGTGTTTATGCCGCCTAGTCCTTCAACTACTCCACCCCATCTATATCAGCAAGGACCTCCTAGCTATCAGAAACAGGGAAGCCACTCAGTAGCCTATCTCCCATACACAGCATCTAACTTACCCAAAGGTTCCATGAAGAAGATAGAAATTACAGTTGAACCTTCTCAAAGACCTGGGACAGCAATTACTAGGAGTCCTTCACCCATCAGTAATCAACCGTCTCCACGGAATCAGCACTCACTGTACACAGCCACCACGCCACCTTCAAGTTCTCCTTCACGAGGGATATCTAGTCAACCAAAACCTCCATTTAGTGTTAATCCTGTGTATATCACATATACACAGCCAACTGGACCTTCATGTGCTCCATCGCCATCTCCTCGGGTGATACCAAACCCAACTACGGTGTTTAAAATTACTGTAGGCCGAGCAACGACTGAAAATCTTTTAAATTTAGTGGACCAAGAAGAGCGTTCTGCAGCACCAGAACCTATTCAGCCCATTTCAGTGATACCAGGCTCTGGGGGAGAGAAAGGAAGCCATAAATACCAGAGGAGTTCTAGTTCTGGATCAGATGACTATGCCTATACACAAGGTAAATTTTAACCCTTTTATGAAGTTTAATCTTTGTAGTGAAGTGCCATCTCCTTTCAAAATAAAACACTTTATATTAGCTGTTTAGTACTTATTAAATGTTGGGTGGTACTATTACTTTTAAGAGTAAGTGCTTCAGAGTCATTTGCAGACTTCAAAATGTGAAAGTGTAGGCATAACTGACCTAGTAACTTTTTTTAGGGAGAACATTGGGAAAAACATCGACAAGTGAATGGATATTATTGAAAATAGACACTATAGAGTAGAAAAAAGATTCATACAAAGTGGATTAGAATTTATGAAATGAAAAGAATTTGACTCTTCTAATGAGGGTGATCTGAAAAGCAAATATGTCAGGAAGTGGAATTAGTAGCTGGGTGCTTTGGTGCATGCGTGTAATCTCAGCTACTTGGGAGGCTGAGGCAGGAGGAACACACACTCAAGGCCAGCCCTGTCTCAAAACAAAATAAAAAGGACTGGGTATGTAGCTTAGGGCTCCTTGGGTTCAATCTCCAGTACCACCTTGACCACCAAAAAAAAAAGGGAAGTAGTAATGATGAATATTACTGGATTAGCTAATAGTAGACCTAACAAAATACAAAGGTGAATAGAGATGTTTAAAAGCCTATTCAGATTGTCTCAGTATATCTGAGAATTCAGTATGCTTTGAACATATAGGAAAGGAAGTTACTGTAATGCTATTGAGCCTTTTAAGACACCAAAGTATGGTTAAAGAGAACTGTAGGGAAACTAAGGGATGTTCTGAGAGAAACTGAGATGACAGGACAAGAGGTATGGACAGGTGATGTCACTTTTGGTAGCAGTTAAGAGCTAAATTAAAGCAAATATGGAGGCCAAACAGCATTAGAAAGACATTAGAGTAAATGCCAGCCCTGAAGTGTGATGAATCTTTAATACATTAACAATGCATATAGAAATTTTCCGGTCATTTGTTCATTTTTATTCTCTGCAATGACTTTATCTGTAATGCTGTAGCCTTGCTGTTACATCAGCGAGCAAGGATGGAGAGGTTAGCAAAGCAGTTGAAACTTGAGAAAGAGGAGCTAGAGCGGTTGAAGGCTGAAGTTAATGGTATGGAACATGACCTGATGCAGAGACGGCTCAGAAGAGTCAGCTGCACCACAGCGATCCCCACGGTAAGTAAGTTGCGGGACGTGTTGATAGGAAGATCGGGTCATTGGCTGTCTAGGCCATTTGTTTTCTTTTAGAGTCTCATCCTGCCAAAGTATTGTGTTTGTTTTTAAAACAGTGAGTGCAAGACTTTCGTCTTCGGTAATTTTTATCACAATAGAAATGAAAAGTGCACCCTTTAGTCCAAAATTTTAAGATTTTTCCATGTTTCATTTATTCTTGTTTTCTCAAACATTTAAAATTATTTATTTCAGTACTTTAATTCAGATGAGTTTATATGAGATAAATATGAGTTTTGGGAAAGTGTTGACTATACAATATTTAAGGCAGAGCAGTTTCAATAAGTAATTGTAGAAACTGAGATGAAGGTCCTAAAGGGGACTGCTACTGAACATTTCAAAACACAATCTTCTAAAATCTGGTGATTTCACAACCTTATGATTCAGTCCATCATTTCTCATTTCAACATTCCTGTATTCGACAAGCATTTTCTGCATACAGCTTATGAATGTGGCACTATGCTAAGTGCTTAGTGCATATCTGCCAACCGGAAAAATAGGGACAGCAACAGATCATTATAACACAGTGTGGTAAGTGCTGTATATGCTCGTGGGTAATGAGAAAACTCATACTTCAACTGGTTTCTGAAAAAGGTCAACGTACTTTTCTGCTCTTTCATATGGTCCTGCTGAAATGCCCTTGTAAAGCTCTGCGTGTGTGCATCCTGTCATTCTGCAAGGCTCACCTGACCTTTCCTTTTCCCTTGGGGCCTGTCTTCTCTAAACTCAGGCTAGTCTCGCTCAGAGGTCACAGGTTTAGAGACGTGGAGAGATGTATACGCCAGGCTGCTTGTGGTCAGCATAACTGCAGCTCCTTTTTCAGAGAGCGGTTTTAATTGAGGCTTCTGGCTTCAAGGGGACCTGTGAATTCCCTGGAATTATATTCAGCTTCATATGTGTGATTATATGAAAGGTAGATCTGTAGCTTTCTTCTGAATTTTACAAGGTTATTAGATTGAAGGAAAAAAAGGGTGAGGTGCCATGGCCCACCCTAAACCATAGTACTGTATAGGCAGAGAGGAAATGGGAAGACATTTTTGAAGGGAAAAGAACATGAGGTAATAAAGGCTTGAAGTCACTCAGGAACTGATGCAGGAGGCAGTAAATCTTTGGCGTAAGCATGAGTTTTCTGGTGAGTTTACAGAGGTTTATGTACATATAGAACAGGGTTTAGACCTTGAATAGTATGTCTAGATGTTTGAACTTTATTCTGCTGCTAACAGGGAACTAGTGGAATTTTTTGAGGAAGAGATTTTTGAGAATCAGGCATATTCTTTCCAACATCTGACTACCTTGCTCAATGTAGTCAGGGTTGGGAGGGTTTTAATTACATTAAACCCTTGGGAAACTGCAAAGCTAGCTTTACCTAAAAAGATGTTAATATAAATCAGATCTCTGCCTTATTTTCCCCATTTGAATTCTGAATTGAATCCTCTGAGGATAATATTGAGTTACAGCCCAAACGGGAATCCACTTACGGTGATTGGGTACTTTGTGGTCCTCTAGGTAACTGTAGAGCATGAAAAACTTTTCTTTTAAGCATAGAAGTCCTTTTCTTTGAAGTAACTCTGTAAGCTTTGTATAGCAACTACTTGTTGCATGATAATCCCTGCTAAACAAAATCCTGTTGATTTTATTTTTAATTGGAAGTAGAAAACTGTCCCAGTATAGCATGGATTAGAGCTTCAAGAAAAGCACTCAGATTTTAGATTTTATTGATGAGTCAACTTTAGAAAGGAAAAAGGAAGAAATTGATGAAACTGCTGCCTTGAGCTATAATTTATTTTTAACTTTTTATTACAGAGAATTCCAAAGACACAAAGTAATGAACCCTGTATAACTGTCTCCTATCTTCAGAAATGGGCAGTTCATAGGGGTGATAGATAAAAAGTTTAAGTGTGATTGCTGCATGTTTCTGCTTCCAGAGCTAAAGTAGAGGACAGTGGGAGCGCATGAACAGGGGACAGGTGTATGTGGTGGTTAAGACAGTGAGCATGCTTTTGAGTCAGGTGCGAATTTAAACCGTACTTCTGCTATTTGTGTCAGTCACATATCCTAAAAGTAACATTCACTGAGCTTGTTTTCTTCTCTGTAAGATGTGTGTGGTAAAATACTCATCTTACAGGGTTTTCTTTAGAATTATATAAGAAAGACATGTTAACCGATTACATGACACTTAGCCCATGGTAATTGTTCTTAAGAGAAAATATTGGAAAATTTTTCTTGACATATACACAGATTTGAAACATTTTCAAAACTTGTTTCTTTTTAACTTTAAGAAACTGTATGACATAAGGGTATACATATTAATCAAGAAATAAATGATCTAGCCAGAGTCCACTTTTTGTTCATTGAGGTACATTTGAGGAACCATGACATAATGAAAAACAGGGTTGGAGTCACAATAACTTTGGCATTCACTGGTTATATTTAACTTCTCTGCATTTCATTACCCTATGTATAAAAGGGAATTCTGACAGTATAATGATACTGTCAACATAATGTGACAATGTATGTAATGTGCCTGGTGTGGAGGAGGTTCTCAGGGATGGCTATCCTTATCACCTCTTTTGTGATTAGGAATACCCAATCAGGAATTGACATTTTTGCTAGGACCAGGGATATAGCTCAGCAGCACAAGCGCCTGGCTGGCAAGCGCAAGGTCCTCAGTTCGATTCCCAATACCAAAAAAAAAGACGTTTTTGCTAATAAGCAAATACTGCTGCTACCTTCAAGTTTTCAAATTTCTTATCAAGCAATATATAAATAATTGTTAGACGCACTTGCCTAATGAGCCTGGAATGCACATTAGTGACCAGCTATCTGCAGTTGCAGAAACTTTGAGTAGCCCAAAGTGCCAGATGAATGATAGCATTTTTTTCAATCTGCTGTTTGCAAAGCATCTTATTTGGTGCTGCAGAAGATGTCATCTTTTAAAGAGTTATGTATGTATTTGTGTATGAGAGGAAGAGAAAAGGTAATATAAGACAGTAAATCACAAGTGTTGACCAGCTAAATGGTAGTGATGTAAGCACTTTCAGAGTTTGGAGATGGAAATTTTAGCCTTTTTGTTAACAGGGTCCAAAGATGAGACAGTTTCATGGGGGAGAGAGAATTTTAAGTTTTACCTTGGAGGATAAATAAGATTTTAATAAACAGAGATCTTCCAATTGCCCTGTCTCCCATTTATCTTATTCTAATTGGAGTTTTGGACTACCCCACAGCTTTGAATTCCAAATGCATAATTGGTGCCAAGGAACCAAAGAGCATCAGTGGCCTTCAATGTCTCTGTGAGACAACTAAAACAGTTGACTCAAGGTATTTCTGCCACCTTCTGAAAAGAACTTACAATTCTTCATTTTGAAATGTTAGATGCAAACATCTTGTTATCTTACAAATAACTCATACATGACAAATCTTGAAATCTTTTCCTCCATGAAAACACAGTATACTTCTGACAAATGGCAGTAATTTTTTCAGAAATAGCTCCCCACCTCCAATTGAAAAAGGATATAAAAATCTTACAGGTAAACCATGCATGCGTTCCACTGGTTCTGCTGTCTTTGGAAATACGCCTGTTGAGAGGGATTTTTGTTACAAGTAAAGGTGTAGTAGCTTTTTGACTATAAAGTATAATATGAATTTTCATATTTAAGTTACAAAGCTTCACTAATTGGAACCACCATGGCTTCAACTCTCTTCTCAAGCCCCCAAATATATAGAAACGATCAACCCCTCAGGTCCTTGATTTTGCCACAAAGAATGGATTCTTTTCCGTGTTCCTAGGATCATATCATCACTCTTTGAGTACCTTAACTCAATACTTTAATATAAATAGTCAGGTGCATGTTTTAAACTGTTTTAATATTACCTGGTAGGAAAGGTGTGTTTTATATATTAATGTCACAGAGTTTGCTCATAGGAATGAGGAAAGAAAAGCAATTCCTAATATATATTTCTAAATGACTTTTTATATTTTTTCCTCTAGCATTCCAAGGGACCATGGCTCTTATTAATAACCCTTTTATATCACTTATTTAAAACTTTGGCTCCTGCTAATGGATATTCCTGCTTATTTTGTTTTTTTTAAATTTTTTTAGTTTTTTTCCAGTACTGGGAATTGCATTCACGACCTTGTGCTTGCCAGGCAGGCGCTGTGCCGCGGAGCTAAATCCCCAGCCCCTTCTGCTTATTTTGATAATACCTCCTGACAGCATTTTTAGGAATTAAGAGATCCATTTTGCTCATTTTTCTTCACTGTTCACACAGTTTTTGGCAAAATGCATGTTTTAAACAGAATAGGACATTTGTCTTCCTATAGTAGCAGCTTAGGATTTCTTTATATAGTTGAAATCACCCTATTAAGTAATACCTGGACAGTACTGAGATCTTCATACTTATACCTCCAGAATCTAAACATTATTTTTTAATGTCCATATATGTAAATAGTAAGGAAATTAAGAATGGCATGGGAAGTAAATGGTTCTGGAGACACTTACATGAAGAGAAGGACTCTGCACATTTCAGTGGCTCATGTGTGTGGCTGGAAAGGCTGAAGGAAGTTCATTTGTTCCTCACATTTCCATTTACTAAATTAATTGCTTCCTCAAATAAAAAAAAAGTAAAAAAGACTTTGATGTGAGTTCCTGGCTCTACAAATTATTATCCTTATATCTTTGGGAAAATTAACCTTTATTACTTCTCTGAAAGAATTGTTGATAGTGGAATAAGATAATCCTGGTAAATTCAGTGCCTGATGCTAAGTACTAATTAAAATTAGTACTGCTATAATTGTTACCATACTAGGCAAAGCTAAATTCATGGACATTGCTTAAAAGGTTGATTCTGAAAGTTTCCCTTACAATGGAAACTTGGAAATATTCTGTGCTCGGTGATTACAGTGGTAGTATCTTGTATGAGAGAACACAGTCCAGTATTGTGACCTGCCACTACATGCAGCGTTTATTTATATGTGGCCATTTTGATGTACCTACCATTGTATATGACTGTTCCTTTAAAAACATATCCGTAGGACTTCTTAAACATGCCCTCTTAGGGACTGAGGCCTTCTTCTTGGTAATACCCAATCAGAACGATTAACATAATACATAGTTCTTAAGTGTTGGGCTTGATAATGACTTTCCCGCAATTGCTATTTTGGGTCCTTTCTTACTAGCCTGAGGAAATGACAAGATTGAGAAGCATGAACAGACAACTCCAGATAAATGTTGACTGTACACTGAAAGAAGTTGACCTCCTTCAATCTAGAGGTATAGAATTGATTGTTTGGTAAACCATAATTAATAGTGTGGTATTTTAAGTTGCTTAAATAGCAATAATGGTGGTTTTATAGATTTAAGAGATAGTTTTTATCTGTTATAAGATTACAATCCTGGTGAAAAGATTTCCCTCCACCCCATGGTCATGGATCAGATTTGGGGGATCAAAAAATAATTTTACTCTGGCAGTTTCATCATTGAGTTCCTATCACTTAGAGTGACCTGTGTTACTTTGCATTTATCCTTTAGTCATTATATTATGTAATAGTCAACTAAATAAAATATCTGTAAAAACAAGGAGGTGCCAATTCAAAAGACTAAGCTTCTCAGTTTTAGGCTTTTGGGTTCCCTATAGTGGTATGCTACAGTAGAAGCTCTCTTACCTTTCATTTACCCAGCTCACCAAATTAAAGATGGCCTTCGTTTCCTCTGGAAAGAAGACTAACGCCAGAGTTGTTGCACACTTGACCAGTAGGCAGCATTCTGGAATGCCCATCACTATTGTTCCCATTGGTTGAATTGGCTGCTTCCCAGGGGTGGGTTGTGTCCCCAGCACTTTTTATATCACTTACTTTATTTCTGCCATTAGTGTTTCATAATTCGACATGAATTCAGGAGAAAGCTTCTCTTCATGCAAAAAACAAAGGCATTTTTTAATATTCAAAGGCAAATCACTATAAGAGAGGGACTGTGAACTAGAGGTAAAAACAACTGAAAAAAGTTGGGGTCATAAAAATCTAAAAGGAGCTGGGCGTGGTGGTGCAGGCCTGTAATCCCAGCACTCGAGAGGCGGAGACAGGAGGATTATTGTGAGTTCAAGGCCAGCCTGGGCTACAAAGTGAGCGTAAGGCCAGCCTGAACTGCATAGCAAGACCCTATCTCAAAAAGACCAAAAAACAAAAAAAAAATCTAAAAGGATTCTGTACTCAGTGTCCTTTCTTTATTCTAAGGGAAGAAAAAAATTACCAGGAAAGGAAAGCAATTCTTAATATATATTTCCAAGTGATTTTTTTGTTGTGGCTAGTCCTCTAGCATTCCTAGGTATTATGGCTCTTATTACTGAGAGCAAACCAGGTCCTGTTGCCTGTTTTTGTAGATAAAAGTTTTAGAGAAATGAAAGCCAGGTCCATTCGTTTACATGTTGTCTGTAGCTGCTTTTGTGCTTCAAGGGCACAGTTTGCACGCTTGCAGAAGAGATTGTATTACAGGTCCACAAAGTCTAAAATATTTATTATCTGGCCCTCGACAGAGAGTTTGCTGACCCCTGGTTTAGGTCACCATGGGCATGGTTTATGTAAGACAGTATGGAATTTCACTCAAAGAAAAGGTCTCTTAATGTTTTGTTACATTAGCATTAGTGTGTAATTTTTATTCTGAATTTTAATTAGCTCCCTTACTGTTCTTAATTATGATAGCTAAGAGAGCTCCTACAGTATTTTAAGAGTATATAATATAATATCTCAATAATGCAATATCTCATTGCCATATTTAGGCAAGATTAAATAGTAAATGAGGTGAACCCAAAAGATATGTAACTGTCTGAATAATAAATAGAGGGAAATTTGCATATGCATGTCGAGCTATCTAGGCAGGTACCCTTAAAGTTATTTTCAGAAGCTTAGTCACTGTATAGCCTCTTAGTTTTAAGCAGTGAAAGAATTATTATACATAATATGGGGGTTATATAAGTGATTGCTACTATATTACAGAAGATTGCATCAATTTTTTTTTTACTTGTGTGGTCTTTGAAGCAAAATAAGACACACTAATCAAACATTTGATTATGAGATTTATAGTAAGCCTTAAGTGATCTAGAAATTAGAACATCAGCTGCAACTTAAGTAATTGAAGAAATAAGTATGCAGCATCTTAAAATATTAAAAAACCCAGTTAATATATCAAGTGGCATTATGGCTTTTATGAGTGATCATAGGAATTGTTTTCAGAAATTCTCTTAGTAAAACATTTGTAATTGCAAAGAGCTGTGTTTTGAGTCTGTACTGGGCAATGACCTTACAGTGACCTTTTTTTGATAGTGAAGCATTTTATATACAATTTTATAATAAATTATACTTCTCCATACTCCAGGAATCTTTTTATACTGAGTTTCCAACCTAAACTTTTAAGTGAGAAATGAAATCTGAACTTTATTTGGGGGGCAGCATTTAGACTTAGATGAAAAGCAGCTTAATTGTTGGTTTTGGTAGGGAAAATATTTGTTGGGAAGAAAAGTATAGAAATCAAAATACCCAATATCGTTAAACTGTTGGTACTGTATAGCATTCTCTAAAGAAGCACGGACACAGTTAGAAAGCTTAAGTAGAACTGTGTAGAACAAGCAGAATACAGAGGTAAGTTCACAGAAGTGAAGGGAGGACATAAAACTGGCACTGGATCACAACAGACCTCGGCAGAGTCACAGTAGGAGATAGGACTGAAATACAAATACTAGACCAGGGAGTGAACATGAGAGGTGATAATGTGGTAAAACAAATTCTCAGGGACTGTTCTATCTATTCTGGAATTAGAAACATATCTTTTATCATTGGCAAATCTGTAGACATCCTTTAACATGGAATTAAAGAGTCTCCTTTTTCTTGAAAGTAGGAATCCATGAACAACTGATACTTTACATTTATTCAAGTTGCTTAGCTATCTCAAGATATTTAATTTAATTAATCTTTATATATTGGGCTTCTCCCATAGATGAGTTTATAATGGATTAAATTTTAAGGTAAATTAGGAAAGGGAGCTTTCACTGTTTGTCTTCTTTCTTATAGTTTGTTCATTAAATCAAAATAAACAGAAAGAAAACAGGTCAGCTATTCTTTCCTTTTTCTTCATTAACTTTCTCAAATGGCCCACATGCTTAATCCTGCCTAAGGAGACTAGTCTACAATTAGAAATATTCCTTCAGGTAATGCATTGTAGATAAACACAGGTGTAGTTTTCTTGGATTTTTTCTCATAATGATAAAGAAAACACTATTTCATTTGGAGGAGGATTAGTGTAATGTGTTTGAAACCCTGGGAAACATTTTCCTTACATCCTTTATGTATTTTTTTTTGAGAAGGAATCCTAAATGCTTGGTAATTTTTTTATAGGAAACTTTGATCCAAAAGCCATGAATAATTTTTATGACCACATAGAACCTGGCCCAATTGTACCACCGAAACCATCTAAAAAAGGTGAGTAGGGACATGCCACAAACATAAAATTAAATAACAAAATTCTCTGGGGCCTCTAAGTATTTGAAGAAATGTCCATTTGAGATGTTCATTAATATGGTAACTTTGTTTATGTTGATTAAACTAATGTTATGGAGGTGATAAAGAAATGTCTCCAAACTTTTAACTTTTAGAAAACAAGTTGAAACAGTGTATTTATTATATAGTTAACATTATGAGTTTACTCAGCACTGTTACTTAAAATAATAAAAAAAATTTTAAAATTGTTTCTTATAAAACAATGAGAATCTTAAATGTCTGATATTAGAATAGAAAATTAGATATGTGGTGGATTATTTTTCAGGTAACAAAAGAGTGTGTATTCAAAAGATGAACCTAGCAAATTAGATAGGGACTTAGGTCGTTTCTCATCAAAGACAAAAACAAATCTCTCATAACAGGTTTGGCGAATTATTTTCAGATCTTGGTTATGTAGAGGTGATGTAAAGGCATTAAATCTGTTTTCCCTGTTTTTATAGACCAAACTTTAATTTGCATTAATTAATTTCAGTTAAACTGAAATGTTGAGGCACTGAATGTGGGTTAACATTTTCTGCCTCACTCTTATTGATAGCCCATGTTTTATAATTCTCAAGACTCAAGCTTGCATTTCATATTTTAGTCCTTTAAATGCTTTAAGCAGCTCAAGATAGTTTCGTGATGAACACATACTATACAGTGGAGAATGCATTTCTTAAAAAGTCACCCAAGGATGCAACAGTAAAATCTCATCAGGCTTATTTTTAAGTAGAGAATGTATAAATTCTTTCTAAATAACATAACCTGACCTACTTAGGTAAATTCTGGTTGAACAGTTTTCCATGTATATTCAGTAGTGTTTTTATATTTTATTTATGAGTTGTAACCAGGATCTGTTCTATTTATTATTTAATGCTATCATGGATATTTCATCAAATCCACATTTGAAATAGCCAGTGATTTCTAAAAATGGTACAAAGAATCATCTTAATGGATGTGCCAGATTTGGCACTGTGCAGACATATGTAGCTTCACCTAAAAGTCACTAGGTTACACAGAGATAAATATCACTTTACTCTTTGATTTTATAAAGTATGAGTCTTTAAACTTGATTTTGGCTTAGTGTCTGCTAAAGAAGTATCGCTTACTAGAAATGCAGCAGGTGAACTTCATTTCATTGACTCAAACGCTATCATGGAAGGATTATTCTATTTAAGGGAGTGCATTAACAGTTGCTACCCTGGGAACAGAGAACAATATTTATGAGAAATAGTGGATAGTATGTCCTCCATGTGGCATCTCGTTAGCATAAACTCTGAGGTGTGGTTCAAGGGGCCCATACAAAGACACTGGTATTATTTTCAAAGTTTTAGAAAGGAGTTGAGGACGATATCAGACCTCTCTGGGCAAAGCCAGATTGTTTACAGTAGTTAAATTTATGGTTTGATGATAATTTATAAAAGCCTTAAATGTTTATATAAGACAGGAAGATCTAAAATTATTGATCTAAGATAAAAACTAAATACAAGCAAGCAAACATGAGAGAAAAAAGAGAGAGAATACAAATTTCCACAACTAGATACCTGGTCTTCCAAGATTTATATGTAAATATAATAACAATTATAATCCCCATAGGCTTTTTAAAATTAATTGATTCTAAAATGAAAATGCAAAACCACAAACCAGCTTCAGAACTTAGTATAAAGCTATAGTAATCACAGTGTGATACTGGCAGAGGAATAAAGAAATAGATCATTGAAACAAAATAGAGTCCAGCTGCAGATACCCATTCATGCAAACAACCAATAGAGAAAGGAAAATCTTCACCAATTTGGGCTGAAGAACTGGACATTCCTATGGAGAAAAAATTTTTTTATTTACTTAATATCATATGTAAAAATTTGAGTTAGGTTATATACCTAGGTAAAAAACCATAAAGCTTCTAGAAAAACATGGACTAGCTTTGCAACTTAGGTATACATTAAGTTTTTAGGCAGGACAGGGGAAGCAGTAAATTCATCATTTCTGCTCGTCAAGAGACTATTAAGAAAATGAAAAGGTAAGCCACAGACTAGGATAATATATTCACAACATAGGTATCTGGTAAAAACATTGGTATCCAGAATGTATATAAAAAGCAAAAGACTTGACCAGACACTTTACAAAGGAATATGCATGTAATGAAAGACCATTCAAAAAGGAAATTTCTTAAAGTAATAGGATGGCTACTAGGAGCCCAGATAGGTGTGGTTTTCTAGCAGCAGTGTTGCTAATATGCCATTCTGCTGTCTCTGAGATCAACACCTTGTGTTTGAGATGGGAGGGTCCTGTTTGCTATCCTGCTTGGCTAGAATTATGCAAAGCTTACATTAATATTCTGTGATGTAGTCTCATTAATATCAATCTTTAGCTCTCTACAAGTACTTTTTATAAAAGGTCTCTTTTCCCTGGCTCATTTAATTCAAATAAAATTTGCCAAAGCCATTATTATATAGTACCTCAGAATTAGTTATAATAGGTCCAGCTACTTTAAAATACATATTGTTTAGTATCTACATTGATTAGATAGATGGATGCTTGATTCTATAGAGCAAAGACACAACACCTTATCCCAAATAGTTTGTTCTCTACATGTATGCAATTTTAATAAAAAACAAACTAGAAAACCATCTAAAACATAAATTCTATTTAAATAATAGATTTCTATTTTTAAAATTTAGTTGAACTTTAATTTTCTAATATGTATTGGTTAAAATATAAAATGGTACTGTTATTTAATGAATTGATTCTCACCTCCACCATTTTCTGTGAAAATTTTTAAACAGTATAACCTGCTTAAATTTTATAATTTGGGAAGAAGCCATTTCATCACAGATTTATAAAAAGCTACTCAGTTGTATGAAGTCAAATTTATTTTGTTAAGTACTTGCATATTCTCATTTTGTTTTTTAAACTAATTGGACTTTTCTAAAAGTACACTATCAACATCAAGACAAACCAGTAAAATGCTAACTGGTAGAACTGGTTTATTTGTTTGAATGCCTTATAGTATAGATGTATACTAGAAATCTAAAAATCTAGGTCTATGTGAAGTGTAAGAATTAGAGAATGACAGAAAAAAACAAGAAAAGAGAAAACTTTGGATTGGACTTTGCAGTTAAGCAATTTGTGTGTGTGTGTGTGTGTGTGTGTGTGTTCGCGCACGTGCACGCACTTGCATGCTCTCCTCAGGTAACTTGGCAAATCTCCCTCCTCCCTCTTTGGAAACTCACATGGTGACAAGAGCAGTGACCTTGTTGTCCTATGACCTGTTTCCTGGTCTTCTTGGCCACCTGACCCTGTTCAGATCTACTCTGTACCACAGAGGTGGAGGCAGTAGGTTCAAATACTTGTATCTGTGGATTTAAAAGGATTTTGTTGAGTCAGTGAGATGAAGCTATGTGGTGCCGTGGAAGTACTTTACAAATCAAAGAAAGAGAACTTTTCCTTATTCTTTGGAGCATAGAAAGAGCATATTCTTTGCCCTTGTTTGCTCTGATAATGGATTGTTTAAGTGTCTAAGCTGCCTTGCTTCCAGTTGTGGAGTGGGGATTTCTAAAAGTGGGTTGTACTGTGGGATCTCATATGAGTTTAGAACTGATCAGCAAGTGCAAGGTCTTTTAAAAGACGATCTTATTTGGCGCTTAAGGGCAAATAATATGGAGTCTGCCATTGTTCACTTAATATAAAATGTTGCTTGGTAATAACCTGTAAATTCATAAAAACGATATTTTAGCATAATATGGAGATGCCTACAGTTCTTGTCCATGTTGCAAAGTGTCTGCCAGGCTTTGGCACATAGATAATTGGAATTTATGAAATGATTTGGAAGCACTTGTCAGGAATAGTATTATTTTGAATTGGTTCTGACTTTTCAAGTGCTATTATTTTTCCTTTTAATTATAAAATTTGTAGTTGTATTTTATCACTATTTGTAGTAGTTATCCTTTTTTTACCCTGCAATTTTCTTTTAGCTGTTGCTTAATCAGAGAACCACTGAAATGTAACCTCCCAAATTTTGCTTTCACATTGACATTAATTGCTATCACTGAGTTTATACCCTTGTTCCCCTGAAAAGTGGGAATCTGGGGAAAAGCAGGGCATTTGTTCCAAGTAATTGAAGAGGATGGAAAAAGTTGAAAGAACCCCTGCTCTGCATATGTTGTAAACGCAGCATTAAATGTACCACTTGCCCTCACAGGGGACCTAAAGTACATGAAGTAATGAGAAAAGTAAGTGCACTCAGCCGTGTGGCTTACGTGAGCTGTCCTTGTGAACCTGTTCCATCTTGCTGAAGAATGACTTGGTCCCTTCTTACCGGCTTTGCTTCTTCTTATGCAGACTCCTCAGACCCCTGCACAATTGAGAGAAAAGCCCGAAGAATTAGCGTGACCTCCAAAGTACAGGCAGATGTCCATGACACCCAGGCAGCAGCTGCAGATGGTTTGTACTTGTGTGTCCAGAGATCATGCAGAATGTCCAAAAGTACATGTTAACCTATGTAGAGTTATCAGACCTTGATTTTTTTATTTTCAAAAATTACTCTCTATACTATCCAATGAAATGTAATGTAAGCCACATAAATGACTCAGAATAGTCTATAACCACACCAAAAAGAAAGGTGAAATTATTTCTGCTGGATAGTGAGATAGTTAGTAATCCTTATTCTATACAAAGTTTTCTAAATTTGTTGCATATTTTATTCATGTATAGTGCATCTCTCTTTGGACTAACCACATTTATTTCAAATACTCAATAGCTACCAAAATTGATAGATAAGCTCTAAGGAAACTGTGTTAAAAGTAAGACCAAATAAATACTTTTAAAATGATTTAGAAGCTCTGAATTTTATAAACTTCTCACTGAAGTTTTATCCTGCAACTTGAACTTTATCCTGACATTCAGTTTCAGTGTAGTTTCTAAAACTATGTATTTGAGTTTCTGCAAGTATTCTACTGATTTTTTTTCATTTTCATTCGTACGTGTTTGCAGTATGCCATGATAACATCCGCCTGGGGAGTTCGTACATGCTCATAACACATCTTCATTCTTTTTCATTCCTGCTCCTTCCAACTCTTGGACGCCTCCCCATTTGTTAAAGTGCTATTTCCAGTTTTTTCCCTCTGTTCTTTTTTTCCATTCCCTTTCCCTTCCTCTATCCCATGTTCCCCTTCCCATTTGAAACAGGGCTCCCAGCTTCTCATTATTTATTTTGTTCTGCATTCATATTTTGAGTTTCACATATAAGAGAAAACATGCAACATTTAAGCTTGTGCGTCTGATTTATCTCATGTAATGTTATGGTCCCAAAGTGCATCCATTTACCCACAGATGTCTCAAGTTTATCCTTTATTGTCGAGTAATACTTCATTGTATATAAATACTACATTTTCTTTATCTATTCTTAAAGAATATTGTAAAACTAGTTCAAAAGATCCCATCCTAAGAACGAACGTATGAACAAGATATACTTTACATGGTTAAAAAAAAACAAACCCTTCCTCCTTTAGCATATTTACCATTGGGGGTGGGGAATGGAATGTTTCATTTATCTTGAAACTACTGTAGAAAAACTTAAATGTTTAAAATACTGAGTTACATACTTGTAAGCAAATTGTCTTCTGTATGATACAGACAGTATTGATTAAACTAAGTTTATTTGTGATGTTAATGAGGCATTTTCATTTTCATGGAAAATTTAGACTATTAAAATCCATTTAAAAATAATATGAAATATTATTTTAAGTTTCTTTTTAAATGTACCATAAAAAAGAAAAGGCTGCATACCTGTTAATCAGATGTGAATACACGTCTTAAAATAATGCTTCTTCATGATGAAATGAGGAGTATCTTTTTTAGGACGAAAACTAATTCTAATCTTAAAGGTCTTTTTTTAAAAAATGTTTTGGTAAGTTGCATCAGAATGACTTATTATTCCAAATCAAATTGTTATGGTATTAAACCAGTAAGAGTCCCAAGATATCCTGAGTTAGTTACGTTTATGAAAAAATAGTACTTTAGAAACCATTTTCATTGTAAGTGTATGCATCGCTATAATCTAAAGTTGATACCTAGCTACATTTAGAATTAACATATAAAGACAGATGGTAATCGCTAAGAGTTTACTATCTTCTCTTCCTCTGTAGTAAATATTACTTCATGAAATAAAAAGGTTTTTGTATGTATCTTTTTAAATTCTGGAATCCAATATAAGGTTGCTGACCAGCCATAGACATTTTTCAAACTATCCTTTTCTATCTTAGAAAAGGATAAAATTGAATTTTGGGAGCCTATTTATTCAAAACCAACAGTAATAATGTGTAATTTTTAAAGCCATTAGGTTTTTGGGCATATTGTTCTTTTAAAAGACAAAGGCTGCTATATGAGAGAGGACCTTTCCTGGAAATGGCATAGTAAACATTTTTCCCATAACAGAACACTTCAACAATGTGCTTTTTCTTCTTCCATGCAAGATGAAAAAGAACACTGTACTAAATCTACATGTTTTGCAGTCATAAGGCAAGAGACATAGGTGGGTGATCATAGCAGCTGAACGTGGCAGTCAAAACAAGCCCACCTCCTCTTTATAGCCATAGGAATATGCTAAAAGAACCCGATAATTTTCCGTCATCTTGTACAGCTAAGATCACCTGTCTGCTTATCAGGCAGTAAAGGTAAAGTTCAGGGTCTAAACCTCAGTTCTCTTTACCTGTTAGGAAATGTTTATACCAGCCATTTGTCGTGGAGAACAAACCGACAAACCAGAAGGAGTCAGCTAGTTTTCAGTAGAAGATAAGCTTGGCCCCAAACAGTATCTGACAAAGCTTCCCCACGTCTGTTTCTTTCATCTATTTAGAAAGATTGCTTACCTTAGATGTTAATCTTATTTCCAATTCCTAGTGAGGTTTCCAGTATTCTATAGGTGGATGTGCTCAGCCTCCTGACCCTGCCCAGGTTCCATCTGTAGATCTTTTAGACCCCATTCTCAACAGGGACCATTTCTGTTTTTTTGTTTGTTTTTTTTTTTTCCGGTACCAGGAATCGAACTCACAACATTGCCCTTGCCAGGCAAACGCTGTGCCACTGAGCTAAATCCCCAGCCCCAACAGGGACCATTTCTAAAAGGAAGGATTTACAAATTAACTCTAGGAAAAGAGCATTTTTGTGCACAAGGTCAGAGAGAATGAGGACTGAAAAGGAATACAGCTTTTAGTGTGTGTGTGTTTGTTTTCTAAATCTTGGAAATCAACATAAGGTTGCTAGCCAGCTGCAGACATTTTTCAAAATGAATAAATGAAGAATATTTTATGTCTATAAGATAGAAAGGAATCAGAATAAAAGATAGTGTTTTGTAGTTGAATGAATTTCAGCTTTATGAAAGCTGTATAGGGTATCATTCTCTTATCACTATTCTGGGGAAAACTTTGTTATGAACCATCCCTGCCGTTTATAAACTATTAGTATAAAACATGCATATTGTTGGAGTTTAAAGTCTCAAGGAAAAAGGTACACAGTTTATTGAGTTGTTGCCTATGGTATGGATGGGACTATAGAGATAAAGCGTTAAGGTAGAATAGACTGAAGTCACAGGGAAAACTTGAGATAGAATTGACGGGCTATAAAACTGTCTTTCATTTGGCTGGAATAAAACTTAACTATCCACCATCTATTGGGAATGAACTAGGAAGGCAGTCTATTCTGGACTTCTAGCCATCTTCTTTTTTTTTTTTGGTTTTTCTCCGGTACCGGGAACCGAACTCATGACCTTGCGCTTGCTAGGCAGGCGCTTTGCCACTGAGCTAAATCCCCAGCCCCTCTAGCCATCTTCTTATAGAAAAAAAAAACCTCTTGAAAACACACCTTTTTATGCTTTTCCAACAGGTATGTTTACTAATTGGCTCACACACTAGATAAGGCAGGCAATTACTCCACTTGCCTTTTTGGGTAGTTTTTTCAGTTTGGATTATACTTCGAAAATTTTTCAACCATTTTCCCCTCCTCTTTCCTTTAATTCTCACTCCCTGCAGAGCATCTATCCAGCTCCAAACCGAGTCCTCGGACACAGTCCCGAGATGAAGACTATGAAGGGGCTCCATGGAATTGTGACAGTTGCACCTTTCTCAACCACCCAGCACTGAATCGCTGTGAACAGTGTGAGATGCCGCGGTACACTTGAGCTCAGAAGAGCTGGCACCGGGTTGAAAGTGAAACTTGGAGCACCCGCCAGAAGACAAGGAAACCTCGGGAATCTCTTCATCTGCCCAGCCTTTTCATTTCTGATTCCCTGGGGGGCGGAGGAGGAGGAATGGCACCGTGGCCACTGTGCTCACAAAAGGAAAAATGGGGAGGTCTTTATTTTTTCCTTTAGCTCATTGCAGAGTGAGAGGTAGAAAGGGATACTTGAAACCGGGAAAGGCCTCTCTCCTGAAAGAATGTACACAGAGAAGTCAAGAGCTCTTCTGTGGAATCCCAGTCATTACAGTTACTGCTGAGTGGCCCTTATTTTTCAAAGTTGAACTTTGAATCATGGTATGAAATGTTACAGTTTATGCAGGCAAACTGTGAATTCCAGAGCAGACTTATCGGATTACATCTGTCTGGGAAACCAAGGCTCCCTGTGCTTCTTTCCTGCTGCTTCCTATGAAGAGAAGGGTGGGAAAAAGCACCCAAAATACATTTTTTGGCAGAATAATAAGGGTATTTGTAATTGCTGCTTTTTTTCAGGGGTAGTTTCAAACACACATATGCACAGATATTTTAAAATGTGATTTGTAGCAGTCAGGAATGAGGCAGATCATGCCCTTTGTTGGAAGGTACAATCAGAGGCAGTAAGATCCCTTTGGTTTGTACAGTGATTCATCAACCTGTATCAACACTGGTAACTAAGACCTAATTATGCCACATAAGAAATACATTTTTAAGTTACTATAGGCTTTTATTAGGCCTTTGCCTTTAAAAGTTACCCTTACAAAATACGATTTTATAAATGACATTCTCATAAAACTGCGCTTTGCCGATAGCACAGTGAGTGTATGCCAAATGCAAGTCCATTCCAGAATTCATTTGGAAATCTTCAGCTCAGCTGTGGTTCTTAAGAAATACTTGTAGTCCATCAGGCCTTCCCCTCCCCCTTTTAATTTTGTGATGAATTCATGATGTTTACAGCACAGATAATACGTTGTGCCATAATTCTAATTTAGCTGAAAAAAATATTAACTGTTCAATAAAGATTTATTTGCACATGTTTATAAAAACGGGAAAAAGTAGTTGGCCAATATCATAAAGTTGTGCACTGCATTATTTGGGGAGCAAGAGAAGGCTAGTCAAGAAACAGTACTGGGCTGGGGCTGTACCCCAGTCGTAGAGTGCTTGCCTAGCATGCACGAAGCTAGGTTTGCTCTTCAGTCCCCCTCCCCACATACATAAGAAACATGAGTACGGAGAAGTTTGAAACATTTTAAATTTAATGAAGCTGTTCTCAGAAATCATATTTGTTCCTGCAGTTCAGGTAATATTAAAGCACTATGAAACAGAACTTAGTGTGATTCACCAGGGTGCATCACTGAAAAATGAGTAACATTCAAATAAGCGTAGTTCAGCATTGGATTTTGGGAACCCCTCCCATTTTGGTGAGGATGAACAGTAGTAAAGTTGGTAGGTTTTCCCATCCCAAAGGTTTTGCCTGAGGTTATAACCTTAGGAATACCAGGTGTCCGTCCTGCATACACATACACTCTGTGCTGTCATTGTATTCTAATTTAGCGGTAAAATCTGACAGACCTGGAAAAACAAGCTGCACTTAATAGCATAATGAAACCAAAGGCATAACTCATCAAAGTTTTCCATCAAAATCATAACTTCACACACTGCCTACAGCTTTCAAAACATTTTTTCATATATGGAATAACTCCCCAAAATATAGTCACTTGTTTCCCAAGGTAAGCATGGTTATGTAATTACACTGATAAAACATCTTTTAATACAATAACTGGCAAAACTGTGAAAATAATGGTGAGAAAGCAGATGGGTGTAAAAGCACGAACAGTGATCTTTAAAGGATTTTGTAACACTGGTTTCTGTCAGTCTCTAATAACCCAGTCTATTAGTCCTACTGTTCTGTAAAATGCCTTTGCCTTCGTGTGGTTTCATATCTTGTTAGTGATGGTCAGCATCACTTGGTGTTAAGAAACAGTTCAAGGGAAAAATATATACATACATATATATACTGCTTGGTGTTCTAGCTAAAAAGGTTTACCAGTATTCATAGTGATACGCCGAAGTGGTGGCAGTTAACTTGGCAGTTGTCAGTTGAAAATGAAAGTAGCATGTCTGAAAACAGTCTGATGCAGTGCTTTATTAAAACCATGTAGATGACTTTAAAACTTGCATGAAAATACACCAAGGTTAATAAACTGTTATCATACAGTAGATGCATGGTTTCAGTCCTTTGATGAGATATCCAGTCAATCATTGCTTTCACCTGCCAGGAAGAGTGAGGAAACAGTCTGTTTGCTAGGTATGGAGGGTGGAGTTTGAAACATCAAAGATAGACTTTAAGGAAGCTTTGTACACATTAATTTTCAATTGTGCACAAGTTTCACATTCCAACATAGGCTATATCCAGTTTTGAAAAGTGAGCAAAAAATAATTTGACACTGATAAATTTGATACATTTAACTGTGTCCCATATAGACTGCTTCTTGCTTATGACCAGTTTTAGTAAGAATTCACCCAACTTTCAAGGTGACTTTTTAAAAGGATCTCCTGGTTAGTTTGGTGTGCGTAAACAATTGGCATATGTGTGAGGGTATAATGGGGTGACGCCTGGCTGCTAGGGTGCCTGTGTTTTCAGTTAGCTGGTGCACTCCTTGATTGTTGTAAGAGGCTTGTTTTCTTAAAATATGTCTGGTTTGATGTACCTGTAACATACAGACCTGACTATACGTTTTACATTACATTATTTCACTTTATTGTAAACTGGGTTTTTACAGAGCATGTTTGCCATTTTGTGTAAGTACATTGCCCCTTAAATTTTGGCGTTCTTTAAAAGTTTAAAGTGGTAACAGAGGAGCCAGAAGTTTTCTAAGCATTGTAAAATGTATTGAATTAATATTGATCTAGCTTGGGAGAGAGTAGAGGCAGGGGGTTTTAAAGAAACAAATGCATTGTAAAAAATGTAGTTTTAGAACAGATTAATGATGGTGGGGAAAGTGTTGCTAATTTGTTTATTTCCCTGGAAGACATGGGAAGTGTGGTAAGCAGTTTAATTTTTAAGGAGCTGGTCTCAATTTTAGTACTTTTTAATTCTAAAAAAAAATCAATGTTTCCTTAAATTTTGTCATTGCTTTGTCACAATTATTTAGGGTTCATATCCTTCCTGTGGCAACTCAATTTTATATAGTATTTTAAAAGGTAATTGTAATGTCTTTCTGACAGTATAAACAAAAAGCAAGAATATAAAGCATAGAAGAATTGTCCTTTAAAAACATCCATGATGTATCCTGGAATGTGAAGATGTCCCTTTATTGTTAAAAATTGAATTATTTTAATATTGTACCATTGTTAGACCTTAAATAAGTCTTTGTTACAGTGTGTTTGTATATCTGTAGAGAAAGGAAAACAATGGAAATGTTACTTTAAAAAAATCAGAATAAATTGGGCACTGTCTGTGTTGCACCACTACTGTATCTTTTTGAAAGAATTAACAGTATTTTCCTATTGTGAAAGTTAATTCTGATGATGTTTTCACATTCACCAGACATTTTTTTCTGTATTATTTGCATCCCCAAATATTTAATACAAGTAGATTTTGCATGGCTTGGGCATTCAGAGATTAATAGAATGACAACTCAGTTTTAATTTCTAAAGCCATGAAAGGTTGCTTTGAGACTGAACAATTCTGAATTTTTATTTATAATGACAACCAATGTCCATGTTTCTCTCCCTGCTGTAAAAGAATTGATCAGTTTCTTCATTAAAGCAGTAAGAACTTATTAAATCATGTAAATATCATGTGTCTTTTAGATTTCTGTGTATGCTGTGAATGACATTATTTTGAGATGAAATTGTACAAAGGCATTTGAAAGGCTATGCATGCATCGTACCTCCGAACAATACATATTCAGAAAGTCAAAGATTCCTGCAAAATAAATTAATAAACTAAAAGCAATCACATTTTGTATCTCTTCTGTGTAGTTAGAAGTAATTTATAGTATCAAACTGATTCTAGTCCCAAATATATTTTTGGATTCACAACTTTTGCTTTATTAGAACATGTAGTGATGTTAGCTTTTTAAAAAATGTACCTTACTGTGACTTAAAAATTTGATATAAGTTCTATATGGAAGTTGCAATATGTACATTTTTCATTCCACTTAATATTTACAAATGAATAATTTTTTTAAAAAAAATCTGTTACTGATTTTTCAAAGGCAAACTCCTTGAGGCCCTGATACTCATCTTGCCTAGGATTTGCAGAAATCTTCCCCACTTCTACACAGAAATCACCATAGATACATTATACTAGGTGACCTGTTCTGTAATTAAATACATTTAAATCATTTCTACTCATTTTAACATAGAAAAAAATGGAAACATAGAAGTACAGAAAAATGGTATAATTATGTCTCCTGTACTTAAGCAAGCATTCTTATCAATACTTACCTGTTTTAGCAGCCCTTTCTGCTTTCTGAACTATTTTGAGATAAATTCCAGACATAAAAACTCATTTATAAATATCCTCTTAAGATAAGCACTTTGTACTCATTACACCTTACAAAATTACTCCTTTTTAAACATTGACTATCCAGTGTTAAATTTCTCCAATGAATCTCACAGACTCTAAGCTTTTTCAAATCAGAAAATGGGGTTCTAACTAGAACACATGCAATACATTATATCTCAAGTCTGTATATATACACATTTCTCCCTATCAGGAACCCAATCATTTATTAACTGTCTTCATAAGGAAACAGCAGTGATTAGTTACCCACAACCACCTCTTACACTGAAATGTGTAGAAAGAACAAAGATAAAATTAGGAGTAGTATGTGAAATAGTTTTCTTACCACACTTCTATCCCTGAGCTACATCCCCCAGCCTGTGGGTGAGTTTGTTATTTTCAAGTTTCAGATTTTCAGCAGTTGGAATCACTCACCTGTCCTTTTGAATATTGGTAGGTGTGCTTTTGACAACATTTTCATGACAGGATGATAATTATAGTGTGGGAGCGGTCAAGTAGTGAAGCCTAGTTTCCCAGTCTTTTGCATTGTGGATTGGGTACAAAGCCGAAGTTAGTACATTTGATATTTTGCTTTCTTTTGACTTTTGTGATTACAAGGCAGTTTTAAGAATTTTGTTACCTTGATCAAGAATTACCAATAATAGCTATTTCTAAATTCCAGTGCCCAAATTTGCTTTCTTTTAAATCATGAATTCAGTATAGTAAGTCTCTGGCTTACAAACATTCAAATTGTGAATTTTCCCGATAATGACAGACCTCACATTACAAACATTTGTAGATGCAAACAAATCTCAGAAGTCGCTCACGTGATTGCTGGACATTGTCACAGTTGTGCTTCTGTGAGCCTACTGTAATGTGCAGTAGTGTACTGTAGCACAGTGCTCAATCAGCCCAGAATGTTCAGAAGCAAGAGGAAAAGCAGTGGTGATGTAGAGGGGACTGCTAGGAAATGTAGAGCAATAACCATGGAAACAAAAGGGAAAATAATTGAGAGACTGGACCAAAGCAAAAAGATGGTAGACATTGAATTGTTTAACCATTGGCACAATTCTAAACAGCATGGACAAGATCATGGAACATGGGAAGATTGTTTTTCCTTTACATTGTGTATTTGTGTCAGAGGTGTGTAAGACTCACTTTGTTGGACTTAGGAATGAATCTGACTTGATGTTCTCCCAGAATGGAACTCATTCATAAGTCAAGGACTTGCTGTAGTCTGATTTTGTTGTGCATGATCCAAAAATCTTTATTTGAAAGGCATTTGCAGTAGGGAAAGAGAAAACAGCGTATTGAAATAGCCTGCATTCCTTGTCCACTATTTGACAATGGAATGGTCACATGGTAGGGGGACTCTGATTTCAAGATTGAAATTTTAGTTTTTCTTCCCAAGTTCAACTGAAAAGCAACATTTCTAAGAGCTGGAAAACAGGGAAGGATGCTCTCAATGAGGTCAGGAATGACAGGAAACATGGGGATATTCTGAGAGCAATGGCAACCAGTCCCAGTCAGGTCACAACTAGCTGTCTATGTAGGTCAACCTACAAAGCAAGTCTGGCATTCCCCAAACTGGGCAGCGGGCAAATAGAAGGAAACTTTGCTGGCCGGGAAACATGTGGAATGCACTATTTGCATTGGGCTCCTTTTGATATCATGGTTCATTAAGGAAAGAAAGCACTTACAGAAAGTTGGCCACTAGTTCAGGGGCATAAGGTACAAAGTAACTTCAGGCAGCCACAGTGAACATAGAGAAAAAATTGTACTGCTCCTTGAGGATTTTAAGAAGTGGGCTTCAAATTCACAGTGAAGACCTGAAACACTACCCATAGCTCCCTGCTTGTTAGGTGGCCCCAAACAAATACCTAGAAAAGTGTTGAACTTTCCAATCTTTCTAATACTTTGTAATCAAGTAATTTTGAACAAAGAAAAATAAACCTACAGAGAGAAAATTGTTTATTTTCATTTTAGTCAAATATTAAGATTTGAGCAATGGCATTTTATAGGGTTTTGTTTTTGTTGTTTGAGACGGGGCCTTACTATCTACTTCAAGCTGGTCTTGAACTCACCATATGGTCCAGGCTGGCCTCAAACTCGCCGTAATCCTCCTGTCTCAGCCTCTCAAGTGCTAGGATTACAGGCATGCACCACCACACCCAGCTCCATATGTCATTTAAAGAAATCTGCAATCATGGAAAGATACAGCATTTTGAAAATAGGATCTCATTCTACAGAATCAGAGCAGAACACTAATGTCTAAATTTAATACTACACAATTTGAAACAATATTGTATTTCTTAGGTACAATCAGATCAAGAAAGATTGCATTCAAATAAAAATTTTACTAAGTTCTAAAATACAAATATAGTAAATTCAGAGAAACTATCAATGGAGAAATCTTAGAATTCAGAGGAATGGGATAAAGAGATGAAGAACTGACAAAGAAGAAATGTGAATTCTACGTCCAGGAAATTCAATGTGAGGCTGGGCATAGTGGCACATGCCTGTAATTCCAGCACTCAGGAGGCTGAGGCAGGAGGACCAATGTGAGTTCAAGACCAGCCTGGGCTACAAAGTGAGCTCAAGGCCAGTCTGAACTTCAAAAATACAAAAAGAAAAATCCAGTGTGAAATACCAAAAGGAACAAATGGAGCAGATAATAGAGAAGTAACAAATAAATATAACAGTCATGCACCAAATAATAAGGCCTCAGTCAACAACAGACTGGCCATACATACAACAGTGGGCACTTAAGATTAGAATGAAGCTGAAGAAGTCCTATCAACTAGTAAAGTTGGTAGCTGTTCCAACTATGAGGCACAATACATTTCAGTGTATTGTGATAATTATGTAAACAACCTGCACAACCAATCTTTTGCATATATGACTAGTCATGGATACATACCTATAATCCCAGCACTCTGGGTGGCTGAGACAGGAAGATTGCAAGTTTGAACACAGCCTGGGAAATTTAGTGACTGACACTGTTTCAAAATAAAGAGGCTCGGGATGTAGTTCAGTTTGAAGGCCCTGAGTTCAATCCCTAGTACTGCTGAAAAGTATAGCACATATAATTATGTATGTACATCATACTTGATAATAAATGACATTAATTTATTTACTGTTATTTATCATTTTTAGAAAGTTCTCATATTTATAAAAGAGATTACTGTAAAGCTATACCATGTTATATTAGTAGCAACCTTATATATCTCATGTTTACCACTTGTCTTGATTATATCAATAGGCTGTCTAAGTTTGTGTAAGCACACTCTATGATGTCTGCACAATAAAGAAATTACCTAACACATTTCTCAGAAAAGACACATGACTGTAAGAGACACGGGGATGGGAGGATGGAAAATGTATTGCCTACAAAGAAATAATAAAGGTGATATTAGAATTCTCTTGCCTCTGTATAATACTCAAACACAACCCTTTTGATGTACAAAGTGGAGAAAGTGACTTTTATGACCACTGTCTTAGTTACCGTTTTTCAAAGCTGAGACAAAATAGCTGATGCCCAAAGTTAAAGAAGGAAAGGTTTATTTAGCTCACAGTTTGTGGAAGTTTCAGTCCATACTCAGTTGGTTCCAAGGCAGAGTGGCACATGGCAGAGGAGCAATAGTTCATGGCAGCAGAACACAGCAAAAACAACAGGAGCAAAAAGGGACGGTTGTGCAGAGAAGACTCTTTCCCTCCCTTATATTGTAGGTGGGTGTAGCACTCACAACCATAATCCCATCATTGGATCATGAATCAATCATAAACCCTAGAAGCCTACCCAATGACCCCATAAGGCTTTGGGGGGACACCCAGACACTAACCATAAGAATCACCTTGGCTAAATCTCCATATAATGAAACTTCATTCTTTACAAGAGCTAATTTTTTCCCCAAATGTCCACCAAATATTTATGAAAAGAAAACCTCAATTTCTAAAACAATTACATAGGCCATAAAGCCATTAAATGTAAAAATTATTAGATCAAGCCACCTGAAAACTTAAAAAGCTCCTCTAAATAATTCAAAAGGCAAACAAAATATAACTCAGATTTAGTTCAAGCAAATTCTCAAAATGAGATTTTAGCAAAGACGTTATCTCAAGCTAAAAAGACCTAATTCCCAGAAAACATGGCAGAATAAGAATGTTATATTCTAGTGACATTTCAAAGACTGAAAATGTTGGATTATTTCTAGATGCAAATAAATTGTCCACACCTGTAACAGCACAAGTTGCACAAAGAAATGATTCAGAACTCGAGGTGATGTCACTTGTGGAAAATATGTTTCCGTGCAAGATGTCTCTATGCAAACTCTATCCATGAAATGGAAATGTGGAAAATCATACTGAAGAGAACACTGTGTGTAATATGGCCAGTGCCAAGAATCCTTACACAATGCAGAGCTCTGGGCAAAAGCTAGATCAAAAGT